GAAATTTAGAACCGTTGTTTTCCCAATCACGTTGTTCTGGTTTCGAATGGGATACACAGATCTCTTCTCTTACCAGACAGTTATTCTTCAGCCAAACTTAGTTTGGATATTGCAGATACCGCTACAGGACATCTTATAAATCTATCGATACATGTAAAAATATAGTTGTATCCATTCAAAACTGGCAGTGGTTTCACGATATCGATGTGTATACGTTCAAATCGAGTGTATGGCTGAGAAAATGAACCCATTAGGGAGCTAGTATGATGATTTACTTTGATTTTTTGACACTTTATGCATGCCTGTGTCTAATTACGCACATCGCAGTTCATGTTCGTTCATACGAAGTGCTCGCTGGTTAGCTACTGTGGCTTTTATTCCCTTATGTGATACGTTGTGCATGCTTTCAAATGCCTTTTGTCACAATGGTTTCGGGATGGATGGTCGCGGTTGGCTTGTCGACATATTACATATTACTTTTGCGCTACCGAAATAAACATATTTGAATACTAATGATGTCGTGTTATTGGATTTTAGCCTGCATAATTCAATGTCTGTCTCTTGCTACTTCGCCAGACCATCATAATTAATTCCATTCGGAATAAGCGCGTTTACCGTTGTTCTTGATAATGCATCGTTTCCTTGACCTTTAATATGTCGTATATTGAACCTGAACAGGGAAATAAATTCTGTTTGAGTTCTGTCGGAGGATGATTATCTTGCTTCGCGCTAAGTGTTTTCTTGAGCGGTTTTTGATCCGTGCACACAGTAAAATTTGTATCTTCTCTCATATGTCAAAAATGCGTTATTTTCAAGTAAATTGCTAGTAACTCTCTTCCGAAAGTACTTTATCTCGTTTGCGTAGGATGCAGTCCTTTCGGGAAAATTAAAAGCGGTTCCCACGTACCATTTACTAACTGTCATGAAAAGGCTCCTACCGCCACATTCGATTTATTGATCATGATTGGTAATGGCATTTCACTCTTTTGTCTAGCTAGCGTCGTTTTTCGTTTGTTGCTTTCTTGACCTGCTCGAACGCTTGTATCGCCTCTGCCGACAGATGGAATGTCCGGGTATGTCCATGTAACGCGTCGGTCAGCGGTTGAAGTATTACTGTACACTTTGGAATAAATTATATATAATAATTTATTAGCCCGAGAAATCGTCGTAACCTCCTCCATGAGTCAGGCAATTAATGGCGTCGACTTGCGCCGGGATCGGCGTACAAAAAATCTTCAACCGCTTTTCCTCCCCTGACCAACCGCAAGGCCAATTAATCAATAGTAATCTTAGATATTGAATGACTTATTCTCTGGAGAAGTGGCTTACACCGAGTCACGAAACGTCAGAAAATCTAATTTTTCTACTCATTGGGATATTACAAATATATTAACTTATTTATAACAATCTACTCAATGCTCAATTAATTCAAAATTATCAAATTGAATGACTTAATTTGACTAGGGTACCTACAACCTTTTTTAATCGAATATGATGAAGTGGAGTTCAACCGGGTCTGTTGTGATATAGTAAATCACTGAAGAAAATAGTGGACGGTAGCGCGTTTTTGTGGATTGGTTGAAGTTAGACACTAACACCATTGGATCCCGATTCAGTGATATACAGGTTAAACGTATCGCGCGAGACCGATATGTCCTGGGTTCGAATCCCACGAGAGGGATAGTGGATGCGCACTGTTGATGAGTCCCATAGTAGGACGAAACGGTCGTCCAGTGCTTCCAGGCTTCCCATGATGGTCTAGCTTCAAATGACTACCAATGAACTCAACTGTTAAAGTATGATAATCTCTGTTATCTTTATTTACATATCTTTGTATTATGGATATTTATTGTTATCATTATTAGTTTAACATCATTATTAATCTCCGCAATACGTTTTTCATTCACTTCGCATTCATCCCACCTTGTTGTGTCTTCTACTGAACATTTGATCGATTTATAATTGAACTATTATTTCTCTCAACCTATCTGACCAAATTTATTCTGATCACAGATCTTAAAATTTTCACTTAACATATAATCTGATTCAAGTTAACATTCCATATAAGTCATATCAACATTAATGAGTTTATTCTATTTTATATAGTTAGGATAATGAGTCAATTGAAGCTTGACCACCATCGAAAACCTGGAAGCGCTGGAAGGTCGTTTCGTCCTATTGTGGGACTCCTCAGCAGTGCGCATCCACGATCCCGCCTTGCCAGATTCGAACGCAGGACCTATCGGTCTCGCTCCAGAGTACTTAACTTCTAGACCACTGAGCCGGTCGGCATCCAACGGTGTTAATGTCTAACCTCAAACAATTCACGAAATTGCGCAACCATTTTCCATTGTACTGAGGTAGATAGCTGTCTCTACCTAACATGGATTAGCTACGCTGGCCACGACTTCTCACTAGAACTCCAGGAATTACCTCTAAGAACATAATGAAAATAGAAATCTTTATTCTGGATATCGCCTATTAGACATTTAATTGAATATATGATAAACAATAAGTTTAGAAATGTCCTATAATTGAAATTGAATTGACAATATCATTAGCACTACAACTCAGTCTATGTCACAGAGAACATCGTTTATAAAGAACTGGTCAGTCTCTTATTGGCATATGTGCATACTGTGCGTATTGCCTAGATATAGACTTATTTCACAAGCATTGTAAGCAAAGATGGATAGTGGCTTGCAGTGGAATCCAGGACGGCTATCAGGAGTCACTAGCTGAGTGGATAACGTGGCTGGTAGTGGAATCCAGGATGCGTGTTTCGTCCTGTTTGGGACTCGCTAGCCTGATGCACCTGCACCTCAGAGTTGACGTTCACTCTGAGATTCGAACCTAGTACCGTTCACGTTAAACGCCATCGCCAGTCCTGATAGCCACTATATATATAATTCTAGAAGAAAGTGAATTCTTGAAATAAAACGTAAAAGCAAATCTTTAAACCGGAGATTTCAGAGGAAACATTTATGTCATTGTGACAGATCCTGAACCATTTTACCTAACATTTCAATCATTGATTACGAAGATTGCATGCGATCGGTACTGAGGACAAGACAAATATGAACAGCATACTTTTACCATAATTTTTCACGATTGGTATAATGTAATATCGACAGTAAATTTAATAAAGTCTGTTTAGAACCGAATTTCCTAAATTTTTCGCTTCACAGACAGATAAAACCACTTTTTGATTATAGAACCTCTTAATAATTGCTAACAGTAAGAATAAGGGTGGGCGTTCACTCCCATCCGAAAATTGTCATTTAAATGTCTCAAGATCCTACTGTTACCGATTATATGGAGATTCGAAACATTTTTGACAAAACTATGAAACTATAATAATCAAACTACCTTGCGAATCCTATATTTTTTAAAGGTTTTCTCAAAGCTACGTTCGTTTACATCCAGTAAAGAACACTGTTCATATGCCAAAATTCTGAAGTTGATTGAGTGACATATATTTTCTGGTAATCTTCAGACAGACAGTTTGAATCGCAATGTGGTTAAGTGATAGTCATTTTACGTTACTCGGAATTCTGACTTGATGTATGGGTATTTGACGAAAAGGGGAAATCGAATTTCATAAATTTGAATTTTATGGTTATCAACACTCATGAACAGATATCTCTCGTTTGTGTATGACAATCAAAATGAAACCCACCTACAAGGTCTCCCGAAAGTGTAAAGCACCGTTTTTTGAATCGAGTATAGTAAAATCCCTACGTTGATCTATCACCCTGCCTTAGTACTCCATTTTTAAAGCAAACATTATAGAAGTTTTCAACGTATTGATCACTGGTTGGTGATCAATGTCATGTGTGTCAGCTCCTTCTTAGTGCAGATCGAATCCTATTGACCAAGTTGTAACGTGACCACCAGTCTAGGTGACTCGATAATGCATGCACGAGTGCCAAATAGCATGAAACCTACGTCCTGTTAACTACTTCCAACCACCATCTTACCACAGAAGTCTACATCAACTGAATGTCCCTAGTATTAGTCCGTAGCTCAAATTTAGTTGAATTACAAATTTATTTGTCAACTTTATTGATCAACATCGTGATGTTAAGTACTAATATATGTGTACTTTAATAAATTTCTTGTATGTATGTATGTATGTGCTTACGTAAGGACACGTATTTATTTTGAATCTCATGAGTTTTGTCTACGGAAGAAGAAAACCAATAGATGTAGATGTGAATGGGTTTTGTGTAGATCGCAGTATTTTCATAGTTGAAATCATGAGTCATTTGAAGCTAGACCACCATGGAAAAGCTGGAAGCACTGGACTCATGATTTCAACTACGAAAATACTGAAATCTCCACAAAACCCTTTCTGATCTATAATCATATGCTCACTAGTGGGTGACTTCATGGGATATTTCCTGGAGTTCTAGTGGGAAACAGTGACCAGTGGAGTTCAACCACGTTTGTTGTTGAGATATCAACTCACTGAAGACGATTGATGAACGGTTACTCAAACTTCATGGATTGACTGAAGTTAGACATTAACACCGTTGGATGCCGGCCGCCTCAGTGGTCTAGAGGTTAAATACTCTGGCGCGAGACTGGTAGGTCCTAGGTTGGAATCTCGCGAGTGTGGGATCGTGGATGCGCACTGCTGAGGAGTCCCACAATAGGACGAAACGACCGTCCAGTGTTTCCAGGTTTTCGATGGTGGTCTAGCTTCAATTGACTCAAGATGTAGATGTCTAAGAAAAGTAACCACTACTTGCATTAAACCTTTGTTTCAATAAATTAAGCCTTAGAAAAGTTGAACAAAAAATGTTCAACATCAATCTATTCAAACCTGATATTACTTCAACCAAAAAATGTACTACTACTGCCTAAATGGTAATCGACTAAGAGGAAACGCTGGATCGTTTTGTTACACGAAATCATTACAGGTGTTCATCAGAGAATGAAATGAAATCAACCCTCACCCAAGAATGACGAAGAATAATGTCAAAAAGACAGTTTTTAATTAACATTATTATTATTATTATTATCAATATATATATCTGGAACCTCCATTATACATACATACTTGACAAAGACTGGGGTAAAAACACACAGGAAGAGATAAACATCAAGAAGAAAAGTCAAAAACAAAATGTAATTCGAAGGAGAAAAAAATAGTAAGAATTATTGAAGTATATGCACTGTACGTAAAATGTAATGACCCTGTTTTCCGGGGGGATATATATATATATAATGATCAAAGTCGCTGTTGCTGCTTATTTACTACTATTATCAGTAGTGAGAGTAGTATATAGTAGTATTGTCTTAGAAGGATAAAAAATAAGATCAACAATGAATAAAAACACTCATTGGTCCACCTTCTCACAAGTTATTACATTCTAATATCATGAAACATAATACACACATTGAATGCTATGAGTGTATGTATACAAATGAATGTCATAAACAGACAATGTGTGTGTGTAAGAGAGAGTGTGTGTGTGTATATATACTGTGAATATGAATGACTCTCCAACCGACAAAGATGCAAAGAAAATCAAGGAAGTATTTGAGAATTACGGTTTTTTTTACTTCCTGGAAAACCTTATGAATAAGAAGAACAATAACAATAAGAAAACAACAAATGCATTATATAGTTCATATATATGTATCTTTATCATCTGTATCATCAAAAGTGAACTTGATTATTGGTCATGAAGATATGATGGAAAGATCATCACCGTCATCATCATCATCATCCTCATCATCCTCATTATCATGAATAATGAAAGAAATGAGAAAAATAAATAATCAAATTAAGTTGGTGATGATGATGTTTGTGTATGTGTGTGTGTGTGTAAGTTCGATAGATATGTAATGAAAAACAACATGACTATCCTAGTAATATTAATGCTATTACAGATACTCTAACTATCAGTAATATGAATGCATTATAGTGGTTTAAGTGGAATTCATAACAGTTATTATCATTATCATTATTATAATTTTAGAAAAAGCTCCTTTACCTCATTGTTTTTTCTGTTTGAAATTTCTCTTTTTCAGTCAGTAAATGAAGACATGATTCAACGAGTTGACCAGGTGAATCATGATGTAACTGTCAATGATGATGATGATGATGATCGTAAGGATTTCTAACTAACTAATTCATACATTCATATAACAAATAAACTAGAATATTTCATAGATAAATACAGTAAATATAAAGATTTGAAGAAGAGAAATACAAAGTTGTATCGATGGTGATAGTGATAAGGGTGGTGAGGAAAATGAAAGAAATTATGATGACAACTCACATGTACCTACATAAACATACAGGTACACAGGGAATAATATGAAAACGTTGATGTAGAAAAAAAAAGAAAAAAACTCAAGACAGGTAGAAAAGGGATAATAGTTTTTTTCTCTTCTTTTTGTTGTTGTTGTTGTTGTAATCAAATGACTACTATCAATATGGTTACAAGTAAGCAATATATGCAATAATAAATATTACTAATATGATACAATTTATACAATATTTGGTTTGTTCAAATAAAATACACCTACACACATAAAGAGAGGGAGAGTGTAATCACAAGGGAAGGGGTGTACACTTTTAAGATAGTCATAAAACCGAACAACAACATTCATTTGTTTCAAGTAGAAACGACATAGAAACAAAGTATTCATACCCCTTTATATAAACACATGCATAATAAATAAAAATAATAGGAACAAAAAAATATAAGATACACCAAACATGAGAATAAAGCTGCCATTCAAAGAAGTATAGATTGAAAAAAGGTTCACTTTGTGACTTATGCATCGGTTAGTTTATTATTTTATGCACTAAACTGTTTCATGAATCGTTGATTGATTTGTTAGTTAGTTGGGTTCTTTTTTATTGAACAACATACAGTTATGTAAAATGATAAGTTGTTCCGTATAAAACTTACAGAGATAGTCAGAGACTTATAGTTTCTTAAATAAAGAGAGGGAAAAAAACACCACGGAAAAGTTGAAAGAAGCGGAAGGGGAACAAACGCCAAGAAGAAGAAGAAGAAGATAAGCTGAACATCATCAAGTAAGTGAATGAATCAATATTTGTATTCTTAACTCTATACTGGAAAGAATGTAAACCGATATCATGGAATATAAAAAAGAAATTTATACATGAATCATGATAAAGTAAAATAATCATTCATAGTAAACTAATAGAATAAATTAGTACTTCTTCTGTAATCTTTGTATATAATGTACGTCCTGGATCAAGATGACAGTGAAGAGAGATAAAGTAATGACAACAATGATGATGATGACGACGATGGTGATGATGTTAAATGATAGGCATTGAAAAAAGAAGGAAACATTAGAATAATTTGGATCATAGTGAATTTATCTCGAAGAGATCACCATCATCAGTACATAAGAAATTTACACACATACATACATATCAATTAAAGAATAGGGAGATAGTGTATAGTGAAAAGAAGTGGTAAAAAAAGCAACTATGAAAAATACAATCAACATGGCTATCATTATCATAATCCATGTGGAATTCGTCCGTGTGTGTGTATGTTGGTGTTCGTGTTGTTGTTGATCGAACTGTTTTATTCATAGCGTAAGTTTACTTATTAACATATAATTACAAAGTGAAGGATAACTAAAGACAATCATGACTGATGTTATCCACAACTGAAATAATATCAACATTATCATTATTATGATTATTATTGTCATTTAATCCCATAAAATCAGCTACACCGAATCGAACCGATTCTGTATATTTACAACTTGTTGTTACGATAGTTTTAACAGCGGCAATGGCAGTAGTAGTCTTATTAGTCGTAGTAGTAGAATCGGATACAGAACTTTCTAAAGTATTTATATTAGTACAATTGATGACATCGTTATTCATAGAAACAAGTGGACTTGATACACAACACACTACAGATTCAACATTAGATGACTTCATTAAAGATACTGGTGAATTACAACAAATTCGTTTAGATGGCGGTGGTTCATTGAGATTCTTTTCTGAATATTCATCGGATATAGTTTTTATTGGTGATGATAAAGATAATACTGTAGATGGTAACGTTTTGGACAATGACGACGACGATGAGGAAGAAGAAGAAGAAGAACATTCTAGTGAATGAGTACCAATAAACGAATTCATATTAATTGGCTTTGTATTAGATATTTCTAAATTTGAAGGGGTTAGAGAGGAGGAGAGGGCAAATGACACTACATTAGAACAAGGTATTGAACAATTTGAATCATTTTGTAAATTGATCGAGTTTACTTTTGGAGAAATTGAATTGTCTGTTAGTGATGACAATGATTGATTAACAAACCGATTAGCCTCATTAAATGACAATTTAGATTGGTTTGAATTAAAATGATTTCTATTACCTGTGATACTAGTAGTAGTGGTGGTGGTATTAGTAGTATTAGTATTGATATTATATTTATCAGATTGATTTGATTCACGTAACTCATTATGATTATTTGATCGACTAGCGGAATCAATTAGATTGTGTGTATTCAACTGGGAACAAAGTGATGATGATGATGTGGTCATACTGATTGTTGAAACATTAACACATGATGATGTTGTAGATAATTTGAAAGCTGATGAATCTTGAGACCAATTAGGATAAAATGTATTCATACCATTAACATTATTATTATTATTCCACAAGTCCATTGAATTCGGTTTATTAAAAGTATATTCAGTATTGTTGTTGTTGTTGTTGTTAGAGGTGGTCGGTATTCTAGATTCATTACAATTGGATAAACACTGACCAATGGTATATGAATTTAATCGAGAAGATGGTGAAAACAACACTGATGATGATGATGACGATGATAACGATGATGGTGTCCGTGGTGATGATGAAGATGTCAACTTAAAATTTAACTCTTCAGTTATTGAATTATTCAAATGATGATATGAGTTTTTCAATGGAAACGATGATGTTGATAAATCTAACATTGGATGATTTGAACGAGATGAAAGTGAAGGACTGATAAATGCAGAAGATTTACCTGTATAACAGCCTGGAATTGCATGATGTGGTTGATTTAAGCGTAAACTGAAATCAGCTAATGATGATGATGTTAATGTACGTTCATTTGTTACATTGTTATTAGGATTTATTGATGGACATAAGAAGCTTGAAGGAAATGTATGAAATTTCGATGATTGGCCAGAAATATTTGACTGAGATGAATGTCCAGGGCGTATAAACGGATCTATAAAATTAGCTAATCTTTGCCTAGCAAGATGATGAGTTCCTGTTTGTGGTTGTTGTGACGCTGATATTCCATTAGAAAATTCTTCTGGATCCGCTTCCGAAATAAAACGTATACACTTTTTCTTACGACTAAAAATAAACATACGGTAAAATGCTTAATACAGTACAATCAATTTTGATTGAATGAATGAAATACTTAGTGAATACAACTCGAATGCTTAAGCCGAAGTACCTAGAGCAAGATTTAAATCAATGACTTGGGATTTGAAAGTTAAATGTTCCAATCACTTAGTACTAATCGTTGGTGTATAATTCATTTAATAGTTTGTGTCAAAGTATGATAAACATGTGCAGCTTTGGGTTCATCAACAGTTCTTAAAAGAATATTATTAAGTTAATACGTCAAACCTGATAATATTTTCCAAAGGATGGCAAATCGATTGATGAAGTAGTGAAACTTCATCAGTTGAGATGGCTGGGACACGTGTTACGTATGCCCAACCACCGACTGCCTCGACGTGAAATGTTTTATGGTGTAAGAGTAGGTTGGAAGAAAGCTAGGGGCGGACAGAACAAAACGTGGCACAAATCCATGAAGTCACTCACTGACAAGTGGACTGAGTCATGTTGGTAAGTGTAGACTAGCTGGTTGGGATTCGCGAGATGATAGCAACCGATGGTTAGAGACCTTGAATGACATGGCTCAAAATCGTTTGCAATGGCGAAGGTGCATCCACTTTTTGTGTTCTACCAAATTCTAATCTGAATTCTTCTTGTCTGTATCCTTTTTCTCTTTCCAAATTTATTTCACTAGATTATATTCCTTGAATAACATCTTCAAACCCTAATCTTTTCAATTACTACTTATAATCTTACTAATTCTACCACTATGGGATGTACCTAGATCCGTGTTAATGTTTAGAGTGGGACTCGGATCCAGTACCGTTTGCTTCAGATACCAGTACATTATCAATTTAGCTACTGAGTCCAGATAGTCTCTCGTTTGTGCAACGAGTATAAGTTTTATTTTAATTTGTAATGGTTTGGATTATCCCGTTATTGATATTTTGTGACTGGATTTTAACCCATCTTAATTACAAATACATCTAGCTGAGGATTCCCAAATAGGACGAACTGTGAGTTTTAGATTCAACTGCTAGCCACATTTTATCCGTTTCATATAAATATATGTGGTGTTGAAAATTATTTGATTACCGAATTCATATGTTGAGCTTTACGAACAGAACAAAAACAGAACTGGATATAAAACAAAAAACCTACCGACATGGTTTACACCACATATTCTGATGTTCCAAACCAAATCTAGCACGACATTTTTTTAAATTCCCACCGGACAGTTCACTTGCAGTCATAGCTACCGTTGCTGCAGCGGCAGCTACTGCCGCCACAGTAGTTGACACATTTGAATGAGATGAATGATTATTTTTTGTAATTGTTTTGACATGGCTATCTGATGTCGATGATGATGGTAATAGATCAGTCATACATCTTGATGAATTATGATGTTTATTACTACCACCACCTCCATTAAAACTGAAAGTAGACATCAAATGTGAAGGTAATGAACCGGGAAAAGTTGGAAAATGATTAGAAGACATTGATGAATAAGGTAAATGGTCTAAATGAGAAGTATATCTATAACCGGACTGATAACCAGTCGGCATTATTGAATGTGATGAATGTCTATTTTCATTGTCTACTGATGACGATAATGATGATGATGACAAATTAATCATTCCAGTGAATCTAGGAGATAAAAATGAATTATTTTTAGAATGTATTGATTTGTTATCATGATGTATTGATGATAGAGAAGAAGGATAGAATACAGATGATGTATCATCACGTTTAACATTTAGATCAGAATGTAAAAATGGATAACCTGTGGAATGTTGAAATAAATTTGATACATCATGATTACTATTATTATTAGTAGTATGATAAGCATAATCATTTGGAATTAAGTTCATAGATTCATTATATAATTTATTTAATTCACGATTTCGAGTATAGAATGTAGTTGTTGATGAAATAGACGATGTAGTATTGATGTTAGATGTGGTTACCACACTAGCAGTTAAAGATGTAATCATATTATTTGAATTGAAATTAAGTTTAGATTTCATATTCAAATCACGTATAGTTCGAAATTTATCTAATTCATTATTAGCACCACTAGTATTATTGGTAACTATGGGGACATTAGGGGATAGACGATAACCTATGTCAATATTGGAACGATCTTGATGATCATTATTATTGATTGTTGTCTTGGATTCATTGAAATCATTCTTTACACAGTAATCAGCAACATATCGATTATTCTTAACATTATTATTGTTTTCATCATTAACAACAGTATTCATAAATGTTTTATAATCGATAGAATTGACATTCATTGATTTAACATGTTGTCTAACTTCACCTAAGAAATTACAACTATCTTCTTTTTTTAAAGTTGCAATAGAATCTAGTTTAGTAAGATTAGAAGTAATTTGTTTAGGTAGTGTTAATGATGATGATGATAACAACGAAGATGATGAGGATGTGATAGATGTCAATGATGATGATGATGTCGGTGATGAGATAGATGGTGCTGTCATAGTAAATGACTGATTTTGTTTTCTACATAATGATGAATTTGATGTCATAGGGTTTTGTTGATGATTAGAAGAAAATTCTGAAATAGTAGTAACAGGAAGTATAGATGGAGGATGTGGAGAAGAACATTTACTACCACTACTACTACTATGATGATGATGATGATGGCGATGATGATTAACAACATCATCTGATAAATGATCTGTTTGTATTTTTGAACTATTTATTATCATTGAAGATAATGAATCATTTGAATGAGTTTTATTATTTAAAGAATGATCAGAAATACATGAATTATATTTCTGTTGATTATTATCAATATCCAATGGAAATGATTTATAACCATTCCATTTATCTAATGAAGTGTTTACTTTAGATTTATCCATCATAACAGTTGAATTATTCAATAATAATAATGATGATTTTTCATATGAACGTGTATTAATTATTGATTTATTTATATGACGTGTTCCACGTATATGTAAACCATGTTTATGAAATAATTTTCGTCGACGTTTACGACGTCTAGCATGATATGCATAATTATCACGTGCTGACCAATTTGGATATAATTGTTGATGTAATTCTTTTTCATGTCTAGCCATTTCATAATATTTAGTTTGTTCTTCTCTAGTTAATTCATGCCATTTTTTACCTAATACTTGATTAATTGCAGCAGATTCTTTCAAAGTACATTCTTCTTGTACACGTGAACGCATTTCTTTCATAAATAGCATAAAAGCATTTAATGGTTTCTTAATATGTATACCTTTTGATAAACATGTCGTTGATGATGATGATGATATAAGATTGGTAGTCATTTTTTTCTTCAGGCTTTCTTTACAATTATCTAGAGATGATTCTTCATTAATCACTACATCATCATTATTATTGTTATTAATGCTAGTAATCCCTGATTTTGTTAAAGCTTTTGCAAAATCAAAACTTCGACGATCACGAGATCTAAATGAATGGTAAAGTATTCGAAAGAAAAAAAGTAATATTACTATATTAGCTACCTTCCGTATATTGTATACGCTTAAAATGAACAAACATACTTGGTAAATTTACTTGTAATTTTTGAACTACTTACAAGTTATTAAAGTAGTGAACGCTCAAACAGTTTATTTTTAGACTCACAAAGTTTTGAAATACAGTTGGTAGGAAAGAGCATACTCCAAAGGACTCCTTATTATGATGTTTGATATACGAATGAATATAAATGGAATACTGTATGATTTGAAATAAACAAACAACTGTTATATTAAAACAGCTTATGTTAAGGAGAGACTTTAGCTAGATAAGCATGCAACAACACAGTAAGGCAACCGATAACCCCTTCCCCGAGGGTCGAATCCAGGACCACCAGGCCTCACAGAGAACATATTAGCTTGCACTTATTGAACTGACAGAAAAACATTCCGCATCTCGAATTTCAATAAATTCGCAACCTTGCCGTATCAGGGGAATGAACTTATCATTTCATTTATTCAAGTGTAATGTGATGTAGTAATAAGTAAGGTTTATTTTAGTGTCTCAAACCGAAATTCTGATGAAATTGTCAAGGTTATCCGAGAATTATATTTGACTAAAATTAACGACACAACATTGTCGAAAATAAAAGTGATTGAAAACTTTTATTCTGATACATAGAGTAGTTGTTTAACAGTGACCATATGAAATACTCAGGCAAATTTCGTCCTACAATGAATGTGATTTGTAGAAATTCGAATCAATAGTCAGTATGTAAGTATCCAGTATAAGCGAATTCAGAGTGGACTACATAAACATGCCCTCAGCAGTGAATCAGTTTAATTCTATATGGTGACATAAAATTTATGGACTGAAGTAATAGTATTATTAAGATCCCGAACCAATCTACGTTAAACAACCATTTAAAACTCAGGAGCGGTGGAAGATCGTTTCGTTCTAGTATTGGGGGAAGCATCAACAGTGCACATGAACGACCGAACGACTGGAAAACAAACCCAAAACTTTCAATGTTGCTTGAAAGCGAGCGTCCAGTGCTTTCACGTTTTCAATGGTTGCTTAAACTAGGTTGGTTCGCGATCTTAATTAAATTCAACAATCTGCACAACTCTATACTGACAATTATAATAATAATAGAATAACTAATACTATCTCTCAGTCTGAGGTGTACATCTGTGTTAATGACATTTATAGATAGGAGATAAATAAATTCAGAACTGTTTCATTGTAATTCCTATAGCTGTCAACCAAACAACAACAACAATCAACACGCGTCACTTTCTACAGAGATAGTATTCAATCAATGCGCATACACACATACATACACACAGATACAATAGACATAAATTATATTTATTATTTTCACGCTGATAAATCAAGTTTTAGAAAACGAGAGGGATTTTATTTATTGACAGGCTATCAACCAAGCTGACTTCAAACTTTCTATAATCATTATCATTTTGAAAACAAAACAATTACAATTACAATAAAAGATAACTGATCTTTCACTTTTTCGCCAGTTTCTTTTCACACACACACTTCCCCACTCTCTCTTAATCCCCCCACCTCTCAATTGTTAAACTGAATGCCATCCATCATATAATAAATTTGCCACCTGTCTCATCTCAATAATCTATTAATTCACTATTTACCAATCAGTTATGGTAATATATCACTCATGCGCCCCCTCACAAGCACACACAAACACACATTAGTCAGTTTCACAAATGAATGGATAAAACAAATAAATAAATTATAAAATAAAAAATAAAAAAATGGTAGAAAACGACAACGGCGACGGTAGGAACAAAATAACTTCTGTAAGATGACTGTCTTTAATGTCAAGCTTCATTAAATAGATTAGTCTATATGGTAGTAGATAGTAGTATATAATTCTTGTATGTACATATACATATGGAAGGGAATAAACTATATGGCTCTCACAATGTACTCGTGTGTTTATGCATGCAATAAATGAAGAAGGGGAAACAGTGAAAAGATTAAAAACAAAGAAAGTCTACGAAAATATTCCAAAGAGAAAAGAATGCATTGAAACAATAATGATGAATACATTTCAAATCTATGCTTAATTGAATGAACAAAAAAAAGAAGTCGACTACAACAAACACAAACACATGTAGATATGTACATACACATACACACACACACGCGCGCGCAAGTACGTACATAGATATAAATAACGGATATGAATAAGACATCTTGTCTAATTTAGATTATTAATTCATCAATTTCATAGTCACCATTATTTATTTTATTATGAAAATAATCTATTCGAAATTTGTCATAGAAACTTAAATCTATGAGTTAACCAATTCATCAGTAAACTACTCACACACATACACACAAATATATGTGTATATATATATATAAGATTTTTTCCGACTCGAAAACAAAAACATTCACTGTTTTCCTCTCCCTCGCCCCCCCCCTCTCTGTCTTTCTCGTATACACACGAATTCCAAATTGAACATAATCAAGAGAAAAGACAGGGGGGGGGTATATTTGAAGAAAATAAAAATGATACAGAAAATTGAAATTAGAAATTTCAAAATTGGAATCAGTTCTCAATGAGAGTTAACATCATAGTGTAATCTGTTTAGATGAATTGCTTTTTTGGTCAAGTAAACATTTTTTAACAATATCATATTACTGAATAAGAAAGAAAGTAGTATGATATGGAAATTATTCCAGAGTATATCAATATATTTTATATAGTTGAGATCATGAGTCAATTGAAACTAGACCACCAGCACTGGACGGCCATTTCTTCCTGTTTTTGGAATCAGTAGTGCACATCCATGAGGTATTTCCTGGAGTTCTAGTAAGAAGCAGTGACCAGTGGAGGTCAACAAGGTCTGTTGTGAGATATCAACTCACTGAAGACATTGGTGAATGGTTGCTCAATTTCGTGGATTAGTTGAAGTTAGACATTAACACCGTTGAATGCCGTCTGACTCAATAGTCTATCGGTTAAGTGCTCGCGCGCGGGTTCGAATCTAGCAAGGCGGGATGGTGGATGAACATTGCTGAGGAGTCCCACAATAAGATGAAACGGTCGTTCAGTGTTTCCAGGTTTTCCATGGTGGTCTAGCTTCAATTGACTCATGATCTAAACTATATAAAATTACTAAAATCTTCACAAAACCCCTTCTGATATATCAATATATGTTTAGATTGTAATTGATAGTGGAATGTAAGCCGTGTGTTTCATCCTAGTTTGAAATTCTCAGTTGAATGTGTTTGAAATTCAATTTGTCCATGTTCATGTTAAAACTCAAGATCAGTGAGCATTGTTTCAAAAGTCAACATGTTATCCATAGTGGTTGATCAAAAAAATTCAGTTCTGAATATCAGTTATAAGAAAACACAAATGTTCCCAAATACTGGATAAAACCGTTTATCCAAGTTTCTCACATCGAAACCATCTCATTAAATAAAAGCCTATCGTTCTTGATTTCTCAACTTTAGTCAAAACTCTAAGTTACATTTCATCACCATACACTTGATAGCTCCATCATACATGAGAAATGCTTCATTAAACAATGTTTTGTTACAGTGAATCAATAAATAGTCATCATCAAACTGTAGAAGAACATAAAGATAACAATATAAGAACTTCCTACCTTGAACTAAATAGATGATTTCGACTGGACCATAGTCCGGGAGAATTAGTTCGATCTAATGTATTAAGTATATTAGAGTTTCTTCTTCTTCTTCCTACTCCCCCACGACCACTAACACCATCATTATCACCTCTAGCAACAGCAGAAACAGATGATAATGTTGAAGATGTTGAATTACCAATCATAGCACTCGCAGCTACAGCGGCTACTACCGCTGCTGCAGTTTGTTGACGTCTCCAAAGACTGTTTGATGTTGAATTATTATTATCATTACCATTATTAATATTACTGTTATTATCTCTATTTTGAATTGATGATAACGAAGATGTCGACAAAGAACCGAATTGTACAGTTGGTGATAAATCTGATAAAGAAATAACTGACGATGATGATGATGTTGATACTGATTTCATTTCTCTGATAGAATCTTCAAATGTGAATTCATTATTTAATGAAGTTGTTATACATGGTGTAGATGGAGCTGTATGTACTGAAGACGATGACGATGATGATGACAAATTTGAATTGAATGTAGCGGCAGCTGCTGCGGCGGATAATAACTGCATGTGTGCAGCGGCTGCGGCTGCAGCAAACATACTAAATTAATAAATAAATCAATGAATGAATAAAAAATGGGTAGAAATACTACAACCAATGACTTTTACATAATCTGTTATAATAAGAATAGAATGATAGTGGAAACCAATTCATTCTTTATTACAGAATTATCAAGACACGTGTATCACTTATACTTTGAGAAAAGACAAGTTATTCCTAGTGGAATGAAAATAGTCAGTCAGTCAGTTACAACGTAGAACTTTGTACGTACGTACATCAGTTCGAGTTGCCATACCACATTAGCACAGAGATGAAGTTGTCGATTCAAATCCCATAATGGTAGAAGTAGAAAGAGTATAACCAGTAATCGGAAAGATTAGGGTTTGAAGATGTTATTCAAGGAGTATAATACAATAAAATAAATTTGCAAAGAGAAAAAGGATACAGACAAGAAGAATTCAGATTAGAATTTGGTAGAACACAAAGAGTTGATGCATCTTCGCCATTGCAAACGATTTTGAGCCACGTCATTCAAGGTCTATAACCATCGGTTGCTATCATCTCGCGAATCCCAACCAGCTAGTCTACACTTACCAACATGACTCAGTCCACTTGTCAGTGAGTGACTTCATGGATTTGTGCCACGTTTTGTTCTGGCCGCCCATAGCTTTCTTCCAACCTACTCCTACACCATAAAGCATTACACGTCGGGGCAGTCGGTGGTTGGGCATACGTAACACAAGTTCCAGCCATCTCAACTGATGAAGTTTCACTACTTCATCAATCGATTTGCCATCCTTACCTAGTACCCGTTTCCTAACATCTGCATTACTTACCCGGTGGTCCCAGGATATACGAGCAATGCGTCGAAGACACCTATGATCGAATACTAGTAGCCTACGAATATCCTCTACTCTTATCGGCCATGTTTCACTGCCATAAAGTAGGACGGGACGGACTGCTGCACAGTAAACCCGTCCTTTTGTTGCTAGACGGAATGAAAATAACCGATTATCAGCTAAATTGTATCATTTAACATGAGGTATTGATTACCCTAGGAGGATAAATGATAACAAGCTAATAGTTATCAAACCACGCAGTTATCTATTAGTACTTTCAACAAGTGGAATTGTTGTCAAGGTAATCTTTTGATGCTACAGATTTGAATACATATATTCAACCAGTATATTTTATGAAAGCTGATACAGATCATTTTGAATATGGTTTGAAATAAACGTTAATAATATAATTCTGTTAGTATTAACTATCCTCGATTGTAGATGCTTCCTATATTAAGTGGTTAGGCTATTGTGGTATTGTGGTGACCGGACAGAGCTATATTGGCTGGAATACTCGTTCTGTTCGTTCCTATTATCTCAAGAGAGTTGGTTAAAAAGGGTTAAGATCTGAAGAGTAAGTAGCTAACACACCAAGAACTTATCACACAAAAGGAGTGTAATTGACCTGTCTCAAATAGTTTTTCCTTCGGATTTATAGTAAAACTCATAGGTTATCAAGATCATCAGCTTCCTTTCCAAATTCCTCAAGAAGAATAGTTTTTTTTCCACTATATCGGTAACCTAAAAGTGACAACCACACTCATGCCTCTAGCAGTATCCAACTGACTGAGCCTTAACTACCAATTGCAGACAGAGTCAACATCAATGAATAATTCATAATTGCTTTTTTTTGTGATGCAGTGAGATATTCATTTCATACAACAAACACCAGTTATATTTAATGTTATTACTAACAAAATATAACTAACAGTTAAGACAGCATAAACATTAAATATAAAAAAAACCTCACTTTAGCAAGAAAAGTAGGCTAAAACTTAGCTTTTCTCTGTTTCTCTTTTTCAACCTCATTATGAATACAACTTACCTAGGAGAATAAGGACTAGCAGCGGTAGAATTAGTTGAAGTAGACGCTCGACTACTACTGTGGTTATTATTATTACTTGTATTATTATTGTTATTTTCACATCTATGATATAATCCAGCTGGAGATAATGATGAAGTAGTTAGAATGCTACTATTTGCTTTCGGTGATGGTACCATACCGCCAATACTATTTGGTGATTTCACCGATTGTAAATGATTGAAAAGAGCTGATTTATTAATTGATCCGGATGGACTTAATGGAAACAATGTATTATTATTATTACTAAGAGAAGGACATGGTGAACTTTGATGACTATTAGAGGATGTGAAATATTGCTGAGATTTATTGGATGTTTTTGGTGAACCTGTACCACTCCAAGATGCTACTGCTGCGGCTACAACTGCCGCCGCTGCACAGGCTGCAACAGCATAGAAATTCGACGATGTTGAAGGAGATGAATCATGTTGAATAGATCCATTAGGTAGTGATAATGATGGTGGTGATGATGATGAAGATATTTGTCCAGATCCTTCTAATAAGCGACTAGCGTGTAATGTATTTAAGAGTTTAGGTGGATCGATTGGATTGTCAAACGAATGATAACCTTTAATAATGTAAGGATAAAGTAAATAGATTGTAAGATTTGGATTTAAGAAAAAAAGGATCATATCAATTTATTTTCATTGAAGTACAATTAGTTCATACCTGTTATCTACTACAACACTGGGATTCAGTAATATATACATAAATTTTCGAAATTAATTAATTGTTTAAATATATCATCGAGATAAAAGTCGTTATTAATAATAATAATAATAATAATAATTATCTGATCACATAAATATTGGTACAAAGGGGCACCGAATACATGTGCGCCACACAAGTCACTTGATTTATTTGTCGACTGTGATACTGCCCGGATTCTCAGATCGAAGCAGATGGTTTTCTTAGGAGGCCACACCCGGAACCTTTGGCCTAAAGATCTAATCCACAAGGCAGTGGAGCAACGTAATGAGATGCAGTCCCATGATAGTCGGTCACCAATCATTGGTTCGTACACCAAAATCAGTGGTTGGAAATGTTAACTGACATGGTTAAGAATTAATTACAATGGCTCAGATGTATTTACTTTCTATCTTCCTCTAGGTATTGAATTCCAATATTTCTTCATAAGTACCATATCATTTCGTCTTTTCGAGCCATATTCTCAATGTCATATCCCTCTCTTTATCATTACCACTAAATTATTTTAGTCAAATTCCCTATTTATCTTCTGATTTACATCTCACCCTGCTAATATAATATGGCAACTTGGATCAATTCACATATGCGCGATGCTCTATGTTGATTGTGACAGACCGATGAAGCGAACATTTGACAGCTTACGACTTGGTAGTTGAAATTTAAGTAGATTAACTATTAGAGCCTAACTCGCCCACGCAACACTATCATGTTAAGAATATCAATACTGAATTACTTGAAAATGACCATAATGATAATAATAGTAATAAATACACTTACGAGATGTTGGCAATGGTGATCGACTATGTTCTCGTACTGAAAGTCCAACTGTTGATTCTATGTCACGTGGATAATTTAACATATTCATATTATTAGAGGTAAAATCTTTTGACTGACGAAGACATTGCTGATTATATGATAATGAAGGATGTGTCTGATAAGTATTTGTGTATAGTGATGATGATGATAATGATAGTTTATTGAATTTATTCTCATTTATACAAGTAGCGGTATTAACAGAAGTAGTAGAAACACCAGGTATATTAGTAGTACAGACATTATCATTCCTAGTTTCAATTGAGTTCATATAGTTTTTGCAATTTTCTAAACTTAAATCAAAATTACCCATTGTAGTATGATTTCGACTGTTTGTTGGATATTTTGAACCAAATTTTAAAATGTCATCATTATGTTGAACTGTTGTTTCATGTGGAGATTTTTGAGAAAAAGCTGCTGCTGCGGCCGCGGCAGCGGCGGCTGCCGCAGCAGCCGCCGCTGCACCACATCTGAATGAATCATAAAATGGTATAAATCCGAACGGATTAGGAACACATGATGGGAACTGAGTAGTCTGTAATCAATTAAAATAATAACAATAAATGATAAAATAAATAAAAAGGAAAAGAAAGAAAATGAGGAATTGAAATTTTAAATAACACAGGAGTTTTAAATTGTGGTAATTTCTGTTTACTTGTTAGTATAAATTATTTGTCATGTATTGGGTGACGGTTATATAACCTGGTTTCAAGTCAAACTGTTTGTGTTAAAGTGAGTATCGTTACTATTACTATTATTATTATTACTACTACGTGCACTACTACTAATTCTACGACTACTAATAATGATAATAATAATATCAAGCTGTTAAAATTGAACTATGCACAGTCTAGTTTGAATACGAAATCTATTGGTTGGAAACCAAATAAGTAGCAGTTCAACTTCAGTTAAATGAGATAAACACACATATTCATGATTAACCACCATACTGATCTAATGGTTAGGCGCTGGTCGAGAAACTTGCAAGCTCTAGGCTCAATACACTATGAACTGATGGGAGTGCATTGATGAAACGTTTTAGCCTGGGAGGACACAACTATCCAGTGTTTCATGATTTTACATGTCCATGATGTAAACTGCAAAAGTCAGAAATTTCTACAAAACCTCTATACTAAAAATACATAATTATTCTATAAGTAGAAATTAAATATGCACTGCAAAGGAAACAAACTTTCAAATCTGGTCGGTGAATGACACAAATATGATGAAGTCAAGAACATTACTGATTGAATAGAGTTAAATAAAGGAAGCAAGCTCATGACAATAATATTGGTAATAGTCACTTCATGTCATAAAATGTATTTCTGGAAAACACAAAATTACAACATGTAAGAACCAAGAGTTGGTTGAAACAGAGATTGGGAGAATAAGAAGTGCTTGAAAGGATGATTTGTAAAAAAAAAAAAGAAGACCAGGATATTAAGGAAATACACATAACAATTGTAAAGAAAATGAAATCAGCTGTAGTACGATTAAAAATGTTAAATGGTTACTCTGTTAAATTGAAACTTCAAATTATTTCAAGAAGTGTGTAGCCTTTGTTACATTTTATGATTTACAGCATGAACTCATCTTATTCAAGCAATTATTGAAAACAACGAAACATTGAAAAGCTGTTTCGTTCCAGTATAATATTCCTCGGGAATGTGTATAAACGACCCGAAGGTTATCGAACTCAGGTCCCATATCGAATGAGTAGCCATTTGATCACTGAGTCATAATCCTGTGTTTTACATTTCTGACTTAGATTCATTAGTGATATCTTTCAATCTTATTGGGATCCGCGTGACTGCTGTAACCAATGGTTGGAGACTCTAGGTGATATGGCTCAGAATCGATCACAATGGCGTAGGTGTATACACTCTCTGTCTTTCTTCCTGTACTGTATACTTATATACAATCTTTCTTTTATATATTACCACTACTAAATCAACTACTTCAATTCAATGTTCATCTTATTGCGCTAATATGGTATGGCAACTTGGACCGATGCATATATGCGCCTGGTTCTACGTTGTAGCTGACTAACTGACTCAATCCTATTGGTGAGTAACTACCACTCATACACGTTATGATTGAAATCAAATGATCAAGACTTTTCACTAGAACTTTGGGAGTTGTTCAGAAGTACAATGTTTCCTAATTTTCAATTACTATTTACGTAAGATCAGTTCATCATATAAGGTTTACAGTCACAAAAAGGGACACAATTCCTATTTTTAATCTCATATTATTTTATATAGAGTAAAAGTAATCAACAAATGAATTCTATGTATCCTATTTAACCTGTAGGTAATTAATTATATGAACCTGATGTATGATACAAAAAAGAGACAAGAGAATTTAATTATCCATAAATTATGCCTCATATATATATATGATGAATATATAAAACCGAAAACAAAAAGCCAGTATTATCTCCGTGTGTGTGTGTGTGTGTGTCAGAGATTTATCATGTACAATTAACTGAAAATAACAATTACTATCATTTAGAAAGAATTATCAAAAAATTATCAATTACTAATAAGATAAATATGCATTATCTACTTATCTATCTATCTATACTACTACTATTACTATTAGTAGTACTGAACATCGACATCCATATCACCATCAGAAGAGTTTCGTCAAATGAAGAAGAAAAAAATAAACTGATTAAAATGTATAATATTCCGATTGTTAATTTTCATTTTTTGTGGGGGGGGAGGGGTGGGGGCAGGGTTTTGTGTATAGAATTATGGTCAACAGAAAATAAGATAGAAACAACAAAATATCATAATGTAATGTAATTTTATCCTGAATATATATCCATCAGGGTATTCAATAGATAACTGTATATATATATATATATGTATAAACATGCATTAAATATCATTGTAAAATGCTCATTGAGTATATATACCATCAGTGGTAATACATCATGATTAACGGTAATAACGATAGAATATGGGGGGGGGAAATGATATTGTATCTGATAAAAACTATAATTATGCACTTGATAAAATAAACTGACTCATATCTGTTTATATTTTTATTTACTAAATTATTTGTTTATTTATTTTTTGTTCTGTTTCTCCCCCTCTCTCTCTCTCATGAGCGCGCACGAGCCTGCTCACTTGCTCATTCACTCATGTACTTGATCGCTTGCTTATTTTTTTTTCTCTCGGTAGGTTCATTAATTCTATTTGCCTGATTACTATTATTGTCATTTGTACATGTTGAATTCAATGTTGTTGTTGTTGTTGTTGTTTTTTACTAAATAATAGTAATCTTGACGATGGTATAACGATAGGATAACCGTTAGGATAGAAATGTTAATACACAGAAAGTAACCAAATGTAAAACAAAAAGAGATATAAAGTAGTTTTCTCCCTTCATAAAATCAAAGTGGAGATATGAGAAACACCAAGAGAGTCAAGGCAACAAGGAAAGTTTGAAGAGAGATGAACAAAGGGAACTGTAGAATTAAAAAATAAGCAATTACCATAAACGAGAAAGAAAGAACAACATCAAATAACAAACTAAATGAGTGCATAAACCAATATAAATAGGACATTAAATGATAGGTATTCATTAATTAGGAAACATGATAACTGTACTATGATTATAAACGATATGACAACGATACAAAGTTAGATGATATCTCTTCTATCTGTTTGCTTGGTTGATTTTCTGTCTGTTATCTAAGCAAATGATATTCATTAATAACCTTAGTTGTAGTACAATTAGTAATAATAATAATAATAATAATAATAATAATAATAATAATAATATACATAGTACTCATTCATCATAATGACATTAGCACGCCCTAGATATACATATATATGAGAAGGAATATCAGATCAACAGTAATTATCCTTTCTGAGTTGCATTATAATTCAAACTACACTATCAAAATAGACATTAAGCCATAATTTAAATAGAAGAAGAAAAAATGAATTAAATAGCTATCTATCTATTCTTCTCTATCACTATCTCTATACATATGTATACATGACTAAATCATTGTGTAATGGAGTCATTTTAGACATGTGCAAATATTAAAAAAAAACACATAGAAGAACATAATATAGGCTGCCATACATCTCTTTTTCTCTCCGTATCCAACTCCTATGTAAACAGATGAAAATCGACCCATAAACTAAAGATATATATAGATAGATAAATAGATAAATGAACGAAGAGAGAGAGCGAGAAAGAGAAGAAAGAAAGAGGAAACAGATCGTAAAAGATTATTCATAATAAGAGGTAAAGTTAAATGGCAATGTTGTCATGTAAGTCTTAATGTGTGTGTGTGTGTGCATGTATGCATTTGACTGTTGTTAATTATCTACATATCCATATGCGTCTCATCTAACATATTTAATGCTGATTAATGATGATAATGTTAATGACAGTATTGGCCACATTTATCAATTACTGAAAAATTCCCATCATATTAAAACAATTATATGAACGAAGAATATTCTTTTCAATAATTTCTCATCAGGTTCTACAATTATAAATTAATAATCCATAAAAGAAGATTGGCCAAGTTTAAGGCAGAGTACATCAATTGAAGAAACTGTAATATGTGAATCAAGGGTTGTTTGTCATATAAAATAAGATCGAATCGTTAATGTTTTTGGGATGACTAATATGAAGTGAATTAAAATCGTAAGATAAATTATCAGAATATATATAGTTGACATGGGGGTGAGAGATAGAACAATGGGATTACAAATCGGAAATTACGTAATATGTAGAATTATATAAATTAGGTCAGATATAGTAGATAGGGGGTGGATGATAAATAAATTTCTATAAAAGGTTAGCAGGTGTGATAATAATAATAAAGATAATAATAAGAATAAGAATAATGACTGATAAGATGTGTAGATAAGACTAAGATATAGAAATGAACATTAATCAAATTAATGTCACCTTATTACAAAATTGATTATTAACAAGTTGACCCTGAAGTTGGCCAGGGTAAAAGGAGTGGCTGTACATATTTCTTTTGGATGCAGAGCTCTGGCTTTTTGATCCGAATAGCAATTGCCTCAGCCGTCTGCAGGATTCTCTGTCTGACAGAATTAGGTAGACTGCTATTTACACGATATATTACTGTGAAAGATTGCTCAATGTCGGCTCTATGTCCCGTCTGAACTAAATGGGCTAAAACAGAGCTGTTAACCGTTCTGACTACACCTTTGCTTAACCACACTGGAAGGTGTTCACGAGCCCGAGTATACAAATTCCTAGAACATCTGCCTATATAACTTGCTCCACAGGAGCAGTTGAATTGATAGATACAGAAAGAAGTGGCTAGTCTAGGCAATTTATCTTTCAATGTCGGCGTGATCATTGGGCGTGTGGAAAACATTAGTTGTAGTTTACCTGCATTAAAAGTCCTTTCGATTGATCTTCGTAGTTTCAATCTTACCATTTCACCAGGTGCGTCACCTCTGAATTGTAGACGTATATACAGAGGTTTTTTATTCACAATTAAACATTCTTTATGGTCTCTTT